TTTTACTTTTTATGTTATTATAAAAAGTATATTTTTGTACCATTATAAAAAGGGAGTAGAGCTCTGCCTCTCTTTGGGCAAGCAATTTGGTCCCTATTCCCTCCACAGCAAAAATGGTATAACACTACCCAATTCATAACCAAAGTGGCTCTGCAGGCTATCTAGCTTGAACATCTGGCACCCCAGAGTTCTCACTTAGTGAGAATCAAAACCAAAATGAAATTACATTTGTAAAAATGTTTGATAAAGTACTATACAACTATTACTATTATCATTATTATAGTCTCCTCTGTACAATGATGGAGTTGAACTAAATGCTTCTTAAAGTCTGAAGTTTTCAAAATTATTTTAATGTTATTTTTTCTTTTTTTCCTCAAATTTATTTCAAATAAATTCAGTTTATGCAATATTTATGAGATATTCAAAGAGTGTTGCTAAACACACAGGCTTACAAACATTAGTGATTTGTAATCTCTGCACTTAAGTGGTTTACGAACTAGCATCAGGCGTAAGATAGGTAAATAAAAAACTCTGTTACAAGAAATAATCTTATATGTTCTCTAAGCAAAGTGTTTAATGCTATTAACCTTCAGAGGAAGGTGAGCTTCTAGATGACTGTTGAACAACCAAGAGCAGTGTCGTTGCCCTGACATGGTGGCTCATGCCTGTAATCCGAGCACTAGCACTCTGGGAGGCCAAGGTGGGAGGATAGCTTGAGCTCAGGAGTTTAAAACCAACCTGAGAAGAGTGAGACCCTATCTCTACAAAAAAATAGAAAAATTAGCCGAGCAAGGTGGCAAGAGCCTGTAGTCCCAGCTGCTCGGGAGGCTAAGGCAGGAGAATTGCTTGAGTCCAGGAGTGTGAGGTTGCAGTGAGCTGTGACCATGCCACTGCACTCCATTCTGGGCAACAGAGTGAGACCCTGTCTCAAAAAAAAAAAAAAAAAAAAAGAGTGTCATGAAGACGATGAACGGTCTTGAAGGACAAGTAGGGTTTTGAGGCAGGGATGACAGGGTGAAGCAGGGCACCCTCCGTGGAGAGGGCAAACTAAGAAGGGTAGACAGTGAAGCTTGATCTTTGAGGATAGCAGATTATCCTGTTTGGCTGAAGTGTAGGATATGTATAGGGAGCATTAGAGATATAATTTTCAGAAAGGAGTTTGGGGATACTACAGCTTCATATATTATTCTTACTAGTTTCACTTAATTTTTAGCTGGGGGTAAGACTATTGGGCTCTTTGCAGTAGACCGTCAGAGTTCCCTCTACATCAAGCTGTCTTTTTCTGATTCTTCTCCATGTCTCTCCACATCCCTGTGCTCAGTGAACCCCCTGTAAGGCTCAGTCTCTGGCCTGCCCTTTCTCTCTCTCCTCAATCCCTTGAGCATATTCAGCTGAAACTCAGGCCACTGATGAAAAGCAGTATCCCTTCCTCACATTCCTCCTCAGTTCAGTCCTATTGTTCTACTCCTGCAAGGGCTTCTCTGCTTACAAGCCTCGTACGTAAGACTTCAGAGACTCCTGAGATGAAAACTCTGCTCTGCATTGGCCCTCTGAACCAAGAGCCACCTCCTAGTTACTACTGGTAAATGAATGAAAGCAAGAATGGAGTGGGTGAATGAATCAGTCTGTGGAGCCATATAGAGACAAAATAGATATGTGCACAGATCTTATACTCCTAAAAAATGTCAACATAATGCTTGTCATAACCTTAGGTGGATTTTCTGAAGAGGCAGAAGTACCTGGCATCGAATACGTCCTCTCTCCCTACAAACTGAGTTTGGTTGCTACTCCTCTTTTCTTGAAGCCTGGGATTCCATATTCCATTAAGGTAGGTGGGGGAGGGAACCCTGCTGAATACAATTATCTTTTTTTGTTTATGGAAAACATGTGAATGAAAAACGGGGAAAGATACTGGGGAGGAGAGTCGCAGAGGGAGCTCATTCGGTAAAAACCTACCCCTCCTGTGGATGCAAGCCAGATGGGAAACTGCAGGCCAGCTGTAGCCTTCGGAGTTATTTCAACAGTTAGGGCAAGATAGCCTTATCTTAGGCATTGCCTAAATAAGCATTGCATTAGATTATGTGCATATAGAACCCCGGAAGTCTATAGTTCAAAAATTACTAAAGTTTAAAATTATTTGGTGGCAAGTTCTTTAAATGCCTCAAAATAGAGATATCATTCCTTGAAAATAAACCCCTTATCTCACCATTTATTATTTCCAGTGTGTTCCTGAGTATGTATTTCTATGTTTTTCACTTTGTCTCTGTATCATCTTTGTGCATAATTCTGTCTGGTCTCTTGTCTCCCTGTATTGCTCTCTGTCCTTTTCATTTTTGACTCTTTCTGTTACTGACTCTTTTTTCTGTCTTTTTCACCTCCTCCTTCCTCTTTAATTTTTCTCACCTTCCTCTACTTTTCCTTTTATAAATAATG